GGGGGGGGGAGGGGGGTTCCTGTACCTGTCTATTGAGTTTGAGCTTCCCAAATACACTTGGGAATCTCGTCTAGTTTTGTTGAATACTTTGCATGTAAGCGCCTTTGTACTTGTACGGAAATTTCTTCTGGTCGTTTTTGCAATCTTCCACTGAAAACAAGGAATGATCTGTATTTAGAACGGAACCATACATGAACTAAAAACGTGTCACGTGTCCCAGCATCATCTAGATGGTGGGTTGGAATTTTGGTTCTTTTATTTGTTTATTAATTTTTTCCTACTGTGAATTCATCTCTAGTAGTTTCTTTTACTTCGACTAGCTGATTATTTATTATTTTCTCTAGATTTTGAATTCAGAAGCATCTATCCTGTTGTTTACCAAGATTTTTTTTGGACAAATATATAGATTTCAAAACAAATTTGTGAGCTCTGATGGAAAACTTATAGTTTTAAACAACTTTTACCAACCAGTTTCCCAATAATCAAGTTTTGAAGATAATTATTGAGGTAATTGATTGAAAGGAATGAATGTACACAACTTCAGCGACTAAGTTGTGATGCAACGATGCAAACTAATGCAAATGTTTCCACATTGTGAAATGCATATAATGATTTGCTCCAATAATGTGCAGTATATTAATTGATCAAGGCCCTCTGCAGTTGAATTTTCAACTGCATGAATCCCAACCATTAAAAATAAGTTTTATTCATTAAATTATAAAGTAAATTGTGAGTTAAGTTTTTGACTTCCATATGTTTTTAATCCCTTAAATTTAAGGTAAATTTGCTTTAAGTTCCTTAAATTTAAAATGGGTTTGTTTAGTTATGTAATTTCAAAAAATCTCATTTCAGTTTTTATACTCAAATTTTGTTAAAGAATTAAGTAAATATTATTGTATAAAATTTATCTATTAATGTTAATGTTAATCAAATATTATATTAAATTCAGTTAGTATTACATAATTGTTTCAATTTGTCACTTTTATATATATTATTGATTATTGATGATCTGAGAAATTAAAATAAGATTTTTAAAAATTATAAAAATAGTTTTAAATTTAAAGAATAAAAAATAAATTTATCTTAAATTTAAAGAACTAAAAACATATTTAAATCTATTTTTTTTTTACACTATCGGATTTTAAATTGTATTACCTAGCATGCAGTTATTTTATAAACATTGATGATCTAAATACTAACAATGTATAACACAATATTCAAAGTATAATTTAACATTAGTATAACACAATATTCAAAGTATAATTTAACATTATTTAGAGTACAATTGACCAAAAAGAAGTTTCAAACTCAAATTGATTACTATATTGTTAGTTTTAAAGTTTCACAATCAATATTATGTTAATTATCAATTAAAATCAATGTAATGAATTATAATAAAGATTATGATTTAGAGAAGTACAAGACAAGATTTATATCAAGATTTATATAAGTCTATTCTCATTTACTTGAGAATAAACATACAAATGAATCCAATCTTGTGAATATTTACATGAATCTGTCTAGATTTTGATGAAAAATTCTCATGATAATCGAGTTTGAGTTTAAAATTTTATTTACTTGTTAAAGTTGGGAGACAAGAGAGGATAAGAGCGAAAATGTCAATACTGAATAGCCACTTTTATCTTTGATCTCACACTCTCACTCCATTATTCATTTAACTTATCTTAATTTTTTTTTATATAGAAAGACCTTAGAACAAAGTCCTTAATCAAATGTTTGAAACATTATTATTTGTCTCTATAATAAATCTAATGGTGTGTTTGGATGAAAAATTTTACAAATTCAATGAATTTTAAATTATTGGTATTTGAATTACTTTGATTTCAATTTTTATCATTCTTAAAATATTTTGTTTGGATGAGTCAATTCAAATTTCTTAAATTTTAAATTGTCAGGTTGAATATGATAATTTGATTCCATCATAATAAAATTGATTTTAAAAATATATTTATATGTTGAGATTTTAAAATTAAATTTTATAAAAATAAATATTAATCCATTTTTAAATATTTAAAAATTTTAAAAATTAATATTAGATAATATTTAATAATTTTAAAAATATTTTTGAATATCCAATAATTAAAAGAATGAAGAGATAAGATAAAATATATAGGTGAAATAAGAAAACAAATATGAGGAATTTCAAATTCTTGGAGAATTTGAAATTCTATTATATGAAGGAATTTCACAAATGCTTGGATTTCAAATTCTTTGTAAATTCTTCATCCAAACAAAGCATTTCACCTCAAAGAATTTGAAATTCTTCAAATAAATGAATTACTCTATATAAATTTCTCATCCAAACACATCATAAATGAATTTCAATCACATATTTATATTACATTATATATCAATCAATTAAATAAATATGATTTTTAATACTACTAATATAAATAAAATTATACGTTTGAATTTTAATATTGTTTTTGAAATTCTTATGGATAAAAGAATATCATTTTTAAGATAACTAATGTAAAAATAAAATTATTACATATAATAATAATAATAATAATAATAATAATAATAATAATAGTAATAATAATATAAAAGTTGTTTAAATATGGTGGACGTATATAGAATATAGATTATTTTGTTGTTAGTTTGGTTGGTAAATAAATAGCTATGCGTAAACCTACCCTCAGCAGTGTACACCGTTAACCGAACCATTGGGATTTAATATTTGTGATCACTTTAACATTCTCATTGGCTATTCCTATTGTTGCAATCAAATCTGGTGTCCAAGTTTTTTCCAAAACCCTTCGTGCCCTTGGTCAGAATTCAACACCACAGCGACAACAAACGCTTTAAAAATTCTAACCAAGGAACAACCTTAATCTTGTTCACCTTCATTCTCTCTCTCTCTCTCTCTGGATGGAACAAACTTGAAGTGGGAAGAGAAGCTTCAAATCACATTCCCATAACCGAACCCTAAATATTTATCCCTTTCCGTTCATGTAGGGAACTACAGTAATAATTTGCAGGGTGGTGATTAGGTTTTTAGCCCTTGCACTTTATAAATGTTGAGTACCTCTTCTTCCTCTGTCTTTACCCGCTCCTTTTTTCCGATTAAGGGTTTTCCCCGACCTGGCTCACCTCTTCCTTTTCCTCGGATCTTGGAATCTCATGCCAGGTCTCCCAAGAAAGTAAGCATTTTGTGATACTTGTTCAAAAACTTGCTTCGTTCTTTTCTTTTTCTATTTTATGTTTGTTATTTAATTAGAAATATATGTTATTTATTTTTCAAAAATAAAGAAAAAGGTTTGGAATAATTCTTATCGTTATCCCAAATGAAGGTGGAATAATTCTGAGACCTATGTAATTCGTTTCTTTGTTGATGATTTTAATTTAAATTCTTGAAGCAAAGTAAATGACTCAAGAGGGGCATTTTCGATTAAGTTCTTTGTTATATTATGTGTACTGGGAAGTGGGGGCTTATGAGTATTTGTGTCACATATACCTCAAGTAATTGTCTGCACTTTGCACCAATTTTGCTTTGCTGTTTTCATTTTTTTTTTTTTGGGCTTTCCTTGCAGCGATTGAGTATTCTTTGCTTTAGGCCCGACCATCTTTCTCCAGAAACACCCCAACCTGAAGTTGTAGAGCACTATCTTCATGAGGAGTTGGTGCAATCAGAATTCAATGATTCCATTGTCACCAAAAGAGACTGGAAATCGGCCGTTCAGAAGGTCACATGTCTATTGTTTACTCTTATAACAAATGGTTTTCCATTTTCTTTGTTGATTTATTGTGATTGTGTTGTGCTAAAATTAAAACTATGACTCTTACCCTTACCCTATTGGAGGGGTGATACTTGGAAATAATAGACAAAACACTTTACAGCTTAATTGCTTGAGAAACAACTCTCTGTAGATGTGTATTTAGATTTTATTTACACAAACAACTACAATCATAGCCCTTGAATCAAAGTAAAATAATCTATATATAATATGTGTTTAAATTTATGAAACTAAATGATATTCAATTCAACAACATTACCCCCAAGCTAGAGCATATAAAAACCTTGCATCAATCTTTTTAGTTGTGACTTATAAACTATACCCCATAGTAGATGTCAGTTGCTCCAACAGACTGTACTTTGACTCTGTAAACCCATAACGGTACAAAGAAGATTTTCAGGTGGTAACTTCCCAAGTACCATTAGTGTGTAATGCAGACATCTGTTCTATCATGCCTTGACACCATTGTTGATGATAGAAAACTTCTAATATTGTTTATGGCACTGACATGGACATAGGACAAACAAGAGATAGAGGCATAACAGGAAGTTGATGATAAATCAAAGATTTATAAGTAGGATTTGGATTGTAAAAGTAATGAGCACCTTTTCAGTCAATGATATGGGGAGATATACTATCCTTTGGAGTGAGATCTAATGAAGGGGTAGTCAGTTGTGTTGTTGCTTGTGAATCATCTGGACTGTATCTTTGTCAAATATCCATGTGATGTTGCTGGTGATATACTTGAAAGGACTAATCTGTAAGAACATAGCAACAGTTGAAGTGATGCTCAAATTAAGGAACAGATAAGACTTAAGTGACTGGAGGGGAAGGGGAACAATAGCAGCCGCAAAGAAAAGGGGGAAATAAAATATCATGTCTATCCCTTGTGTATGATCATGAGCAAAGCAAGTACAACCTAATATGCATAATTGAATAGAGAAAATAGGCTCTTTAGGAAATAAAATAGAGCGGGGAAATTGATCTTTGGAGACAGAAATAGCATCTGATTGATGAGATAGCAGGATGTAGCAATAGAGGATGGACAATTTCTATTAAATGATGATGTTTGCATTTAATAACTACATTTTTATTGTGGAATGTGGGGACAAGAAGATTGAAGGAGAATAACTTTAAGTTGTAAAGGATGGGAAACGCGCAAAAATACACGAGCGTTATCTCAACGCAAATTTAATGGGTGCATTAAAATTGTTACGAGTTTTTGAACAAAAGGAGTTGAAAAACAATTCCAATCTAACTTTCATTAAATATAGCCTGTTGCAACAAGAATATGGCCAAAAGTAAAGTTTATAAAAGGCCTGGACAATCCTCACCTCATGAGTTAGCTTGAGGTTGAGTGAGACCCATTCCAAATTCAAGATATTATCAAAGCCTTTTGTAGATTTTTTGATATATTGGGTCGCTCTCCACTGTCCAAAAGTCTACTTGACCCTATGGCAATGCAATATGAAAAGCCTACCTGAATTTCCACACTAGATGTTTAATCCTAGGCATGAGGAGGGTGTGTTGAGATCCCACACTGGCTATAAATATGGCCAAAGTAGAACTTATAAAGGCTTGGGCAATCCTCACTTCAAGAGTTAGCTTTTGAGGTTGAGTTAGATTGAATCCAAATTCAAGAAATCTAATGTCACCAATGGACCCTAATCATCTGAATGAATAACAGAAAATGGAGACGGAACTCTTAATTTTTACAGCTAGGAATGGAAGTGCAAATGTACTCTTTTAGTTGACAAGATTGACGCTTCTATAGACTTAGAACCATAGTCTGAAGCTCGGATAGGTTAGGATGTCCTAAACAACAATGGCACATGATACAAGTGAATGTGGTATAGTAAACTGGTACAGTACTTGACATTTGCATCGGGTACAAATTGTCATTGTAGTGTTCGCTCGGGACTAGTCAAAAGGTTAGTGCACAGTCAGCTTGTGTTGGTGCTAGGGCTGCAGAACATAGTGGGATATTAGGATTTGATTGCAAGGTATGAGAGTTGAATCTCACATTGGAAGTATGGGATTCTAGTGTGGGGTTTATAAGAGATCTTGGCCTCTCCAATAATGGCTAGCTTTTGTGGTGGGGTTCTCCCAAAGTTGTTATCTTATGTAGTCAATCTGAGGAAGTGGCAGCAGGTTATGGAATTATGTAATCGATGATATATTAAGTGAATATCTGCTTTTATTTATCCAATTGATGGAAAGAAAAGAGAAAGAGGTTTCTTTGTCATGCCTAATGTTTGATTTTACTGTTGTACAATGTGCAGACTTACTATATATCAAGTGAACGTCTGCTTTTATTTATCCATTGGAATTTGTGGATGAAAAGAGAATGTAGATTCCTTTATCATCCCTAATGTTTGATTGTATAGACCTAGTTTATTTTATGTTATAAAAGTGAGATTTCAGACTTAATAGGTTAGGATAAGGTTTACTTAGTTGTATTTATGGTATATTAAAAAGTGGATTGATGTCTGTGGTGGTAACAGCGGTTCCTAGAGAATACAAGGTGGGTTTCATATTAGTGACTGTTGAGTGCTGTGAATGGTACCTGCATTACCTGGATTTTGATTTTTTATTTTAGGCAAATTGAAGGAAGAATGAATTAGGATTTTGATGTGGTGAATCTGTCATGATATCTGATATGGCTGAAGATGAGCAGAAGAGAAACCTAGGAATTACACAGTGGTTGGATTACACAACCAAGAAGATTGTAGTTTTCTGCTTATAATACATAAAAATGTTCAGTCATAAGAAAGCATTACGGCTGTTTACATAGACCTCAAACTTCTGTGAGAAATAGGAGTAAACCTTCAAATCCCATAGACTCTATTACTAAACCCATAAAGAAAACTTCAACAATGAAACAAGACCCACCAAAGTTATTAACATAAACCTGAACCCAATGGGAAATGAAAAAATTCCTAGATTATCTTCATGATTGAAACGGTAACATAAATACCCCTAAATTATTGTACTCTTGTGAAGTAATGAAATAATCCAGCTAGCACTAAATTTGAAACTGAGCTAAAATATTTAGATGATTTGATCTATACATAAACTAATGCTTTATTGATTATAGTGCATCTGAATCACACTTGTTCCTCAGTTAAATATATGAAGCTTCAGATTTTATTTGCATGTGGAAACATCAAACATGCATCATTACAACAGGCAACAGAGTATTATACACTATTGTTAATGAAATGCAAATTTATATTTTAAATGTTATCTTGTGTAAATCTGTTTACCTAAATACTTGATTTCTTTTCAGGCTGCAAATGAAGTAGTCAAGGTAATTGGTGATCGGTGGGTTGTGCCATGGACTGCAATGACTATATTACAAGTAAGTGTTTCCCAAACATCTAATGAGATGTGTGAATAAATTTTCTTTTATATATCAGTTCCTCAGTTAAAAATTTATGGTACATGTGATATAAGAGGCATGGAGATAGAATGTTAGTTGACCCAATTGAGTAGAGTTAAAATTCTAAACAATAAATTGTCAATGAGGTTGATAATGGTGCAACTTTATATGATGCAGGTTATGCTTCTATGGACGACTGCATTTTGGTTTATAGGATCTTGGATGATTCCTTTTGCAGCTCATATAACTGGCTTTAGCAAGGAGTCTTTGACATTTAGAGGACAGGCATTATACAGCCTTGTTACTGATGTGACTGAAGGACTTGCTGGAATTGCAATTCTTCTTCGCTGTCTTTCTCGATTTCGCCCCCTTCCACCTGACTGGTTCAAGTTTAGCCTGAAAGGGAATTGGCAATTGGATGTCATAACAGGATGTCTCATGTTTCCGCTTGTCAATCGACTCTCACAGTTTAACCTGGACCTACTACCCCTTTTGCCCTCAACACCAGTCACCCTTTCAAGTGTTGAACAATCAATAAGGGCAAGGGATCCTGTGGCAATGCTATTGTATGCAACAGTAGTGTCAATCTGTGCTCCTGTGTGGGAGGAGATAGTGTTTCGTGGTTTTCTACTCCCATCCCTTACCAAATACATGCCAGTGTGGTGTGCAATACTGGTAAGTTCAATTGCCTTTGCGCTTGCACATTTTAATATACAGAGGATGCTGCCCCTTATATTTCTTGGGATGGTGATGGGTCTGATATATACAAGGTCAAGGAATTTACTTCCATCAATGTTGTTGCATAGTCTTTGGAATGGCTTCGTCTTCTTAGATTTGATGAAATAGCTTTTCTTCAAAATTGTGGTTCTCTAGAGTCCATTGTGTAGGTAGAATTGCAGGAACTAGCATCTTTGGATCAGCATCTTCAGAAGTAAATGCATACTAGAACAGAACAGTACCCCGTTCGTGAACAAGTGCTTTTGCAAGGAGTAACATGAGCTGATGCCCTCTTACAATTGTACATTACAAGAAAACAGTGCCCCACATTTGTCCATATCTGCGATAAATACGTAGTATAAACTGACAGTTATTATAATTGAAACATTCTATTTTGAGTAACCCTTATGTGAACATTCATTTTGGGTAACATGATGTTGAAGGACGGTTGTACTATATATTCTTAATGAGCTCTTCCCTTAGAACTAATCTAATAATAAATTCAAGGTCATGGAAGGGGTTTTCCAGAACACTGCAGAATATCTGGTCCACTGGCTACATTGGCCGTTTCAATTTTTTTTTTTCCTTTTATGGTAGTTACTAATTTATAGGCACTAGTCATTATATAAACTCGGCTTACTTATTGTATTTTAATTATTTTATAAAGAAAATAAGAATTAAAGAATAAAAAAGTGCATCAGACTTGGTCTTTGAAGATGTTGGATTTGATAAATATACGAAATGAAGATGAAATGAACAACAGTTGTAATTGTTTGAATTGTATAAAATAAAATAAGACAAAAAGCACAATCAAATTTATTTTATTTCTCTAATGCCTATATGTTTCTTCTATCTTTTATTTTTTTTAATTTTTTTAAATATAAGAAATGAAACTGATAGAATTATATACATATTTAAATAATTATATTAGTGTATAACAATAAAATAGTAACGATAGATTCTTTACACAATAGATCCTATTATTTTATGCAGGCATAATCCATTTATAAGATAATAAAGTAATTCTTTAATTATTTTTATAACATATTTTATGTTATTTTGTATTAATAATAATATTTAGCATTATAATTTGAAAATTATTTTAAGAAAGTAATAGTTATAGTTATTAGTATGTTACCTTTTGATTTTTTTTAATTATAATATTGATATGACGTATTAGTGACATTTTTTTTTTCTTTCAAGTTTTGGATAATTCAATAAAGGAACACTTGTGTCAATTATTATTGATATATTTTTTTTGATCTTTTAAGAAAAACAATTTATCATTTTATTCTAACTCTTAAAAATGTAGAAAATTTAAGTTGAGAAAAAATATTTATTCATTTGATATTTGTCAAAATTTTAAAAGAGATTATTTTTCATGTATGACAAAAATACTCCTTGATAATTTAAAAAAAAAAAAAGAGTTGCAAATAAAAGAAATTATATTATTACATATGCAACAAATTTATTTCTAAAAAACAAAGACAAACGGGTATGCCTTTACTAGTAAAAATTGTAATCATTATTATACTTATTATGTCAAAAAAAAAATGACTATAGTTTAAAGTTTTTTCACAAATTAAGAATAACGATAAATATATCACTTTTTAATTTTTATTAAAATAGTTCTACTTTTTCTTTAAATGCATTACTTCTAAATGTAGTGGTTAAATAATTTATGAAAAAATAAGTTAGAAAAAATAATTAATATTATATTAAAAAGTAAGAATATTAGTCATTTTAAAATATTTTTTAAATATTAAAATTGCAAATAATATGAGACAAAAGGAATAACATGTTGAGAGAATTTATTTTGATTTATTATTATTATTATTATTATTATTATTATTATTATTATTATTATTATTATTATTATTATTATTATTACTACTCTCTTCATCTCATAATAATTACAATTTTATAGCATTTAAAAAATGTTCCAAAATGAATTGTTTTCAATTTTAAATATAATATTAATAATTTTTTTTCTTCTAATTTACCATTTCATAAATCATTCAACCACTTTAGTTAAAAGTAACACATTTATTGAGAGAGTGAACTATTTTACTAAAATTATATTAAAAGTAATAATTTATTATTATTCTTAATCGGTATGTAGAAACCTTAAATTGTTGTCATCATTAGATGATAAATTAATAATTTTAATAATAATAATTATTATTACATGATAATAAGTCTGTGATTTTTAAAAATATTATTTATTATTGTATTAAAATAATTACTATTTAATTATTTTTTTTATGCGAGAATCAAACTTGATATCAACAAATTTACTAAGCTAGACATATATTTAGTAAGGTGTATTTATAATTTTACTACTTAATGTTTGATTAGTATATATATTAACCGTTTATTAGTATTTGAATATTTATAATTTCATGATGTGAAAAATTAAAGAAAATAAGTTTTTATGCTTTGTTTATATTATTTTATAAACTATATTCTATAGAATAAAAAATATATTTTATTAAATAAAGTGCCAAATGATCTTAGTTTTGAATAGATTTGTTCATGTGTAAGAACACTCTTCTTCTTGATCCTTCCTAGTTGCCTTCAAGTTCTTCTGAATCTTCCGTATCGACCAAACACTAGCTCCACGTGGTGGGGGAGGGTACCTGCACAGGCACTCCGACGATCAAGTCAGTGTTCGGTTTAGAGCAATAAATGCATTAGCGGGAATAGTAGTGTACCTCATTTATGTCACACCACCTGTATATTTATAGTGACATATGTGGGCCTGATGGGCCTTCATCCTTGGGAAATGGGTAATACATGATTTAACCTTAATCCTGTCTTAATCTGGTAATTAATGCAAAGTAGGCAGTTGGTTTGCCACGTGTTTATCATAGGCTCTTTCTTCAGGTTCTCGGCCAAACTTGGGACCGAAGGGGTGTTCGGCCAAGCTTGGGGCCGAAGGGGTGTTCGGCAAAGCTTGGGGCCGAATGGGTGTTTTGAATAGCTTCAGATCCCTTCTCTGGGTTTTTGGCTACTCACGAGACCGAGGGAGTGTTCGGCCATGCTTGGGGCCGAAAGGGTGTTCGGCCAAGCTTTGGGGCCGAAGGGGTGTTGTGTTTCATTCGGCTAGGGCATTCCTTTCGGTCTATTTCCTGACCTGAGGGGGCAGTTGGTGTGGCTCCTTGGTTCGGGCCCCCCTCTCGGCCCATTGTCCGATCGAAGGGGTGCCAATTGGTGCGTTTCATTAGTTTGGACACCCCTTTCGGCCTATTGCATGACCGAAAGTGTGCTTACTAGTACAAGATTCTTTATTTTATTTTTTCTGCTTCCTTAACCCTTAGCGGTAATTGGTAGGCAACAAATGCTTTCTGATGCAGTCATGCTTCTACTTTGCATGTCACGTGCAATAAAGAGATGGTGTAAGTATTTACACAGAAACAGAAAGTATGCACCAACCAAAGTACGTATTGGATCCTTTTTGGGGCAACTTGTATTTTTGTTTGCTTTGGTTGGTATAATATAACTCTCATTCTAATATGCATAGGCATCTGTGCCCATGTTGAAGCACTTTGCTACAAGTTACAATGCATTCTTCTGCCCATACCCTCATGCATTCCCACTTGCCCAATTTGGCTACCATACGAGTAATATAAGAATTTGTTTCAATCATATCAAGAACATTATCTTTAACTTAATACATTAAGAACATTATCTTTAACTTAATACATTAGTTAAGAAATAATAAATAGTGGGACTGTGGGAGTCTATATGAGTTTGTTGAATAAAGTGTATATGGGTAGGTTCTACCACTCTGATTCCGATCTGCTGTTGAGTGCAAAATGCCGCACACCAGATTCACTCGTTCAGCACTAATGCGTGCGTTTACCCTTTTCAGATAATAATTTATGTGCTTATTATATTCGGCCACTGCAATTGTTCTCTTTTCCCTATTATTTAATCATATTATTGCTCAAAAGACTCAAAACATCGAAATAGGTAAATGCTCAAGGTAATACTTGAATACCAGCAATTATAGGATTACAACAAGTTTTTACAATGAAAACTTAAAATATAAGGACGAATCAAGTTAATTAAAAATAATTTAAAAAGAATTACTCATTTTTTCTCAATCTAACTGTTCTAGTGAGTAACTTTTCAAGGATATATATTATTAGTGACACAAATGGAGATCTACGTCGGCTTCTCGTGCTTTGACAAATTAAACAGTAATATATATTTGACATTAGGAAAACAATAGTACAAAAGATGCAACTAATATCCATGGTTTGACTTTGGAATGCGTAGCAACTTTTAATTCATGAAAAAAAAATATAAACAGTATGTGTTTAGCAGAAAAGTTTGAGTTATTTATATTGTGAAAATTTAGGTCAATCCAATACATTTGACCTAAAACAAATTTTTTAAGTGAGATTTAAAAAAAAGCAATTAATAATAATATTTTTTAAATAAAAATAAAAATGTTTTAGAGATGAGTATACTAAAATATACTTTTAAGAATATAAAAAATGACTCTTGAGTTATGAATCTTAAAAAAGTTATATAAATATCAATGTAATTTTTTTAAGAAAAAAAGTCAAAAGCTAGAACTTTATTCACTTCATGTTTTGATTGACGTATGCTTGACAATCAATAATGGAAACACGTTTGTATTAAAATAGGTAACACATATCTTAATTAACATGCATTTGATCTTATATATATTAGTACGTAGGAAAGCTAGAAGAATTCAAGATGATAAATCATTTTTATTGTTAAGAGATAGAAACTCAATAAAAGAATGATTGTTACTCGATGAAAGGAAAAGCTCCTTGTACATCACATGTAAAGGAGAAGCTCTTCAAATGATACAATATGATCAAACTTTTGTTTTAGACAATTAATAGCTGTACCAGCACTCATGCCATTAAATATTATGGGAAAATCCTTAGCCTTGGACTCATTTTCATTAAGCGGATGTTCATCCTACCTATTATAAAAACAAATGCGAGTAAGGTTCAAGTAGAATTGTCGATAACCTAAGCAAACAAGTATAAACGATTCAACCTAATTAAACGAAACAATCTTTTCAAAGGAGCAATATTTTCAGGCAAACCAACCACCTCAAATTTGTTTAGATGAAAAAAGAATCCTAAGAGGCTTTTATTTGAGGAAAAACATACCACGTGGAAGAAAAAGTCAAATTTAAAAAGAATTGACTTAATTAATAAGTATTGAAACACAACGAAGCCAACGGTACATCTACACAAGAATTCTTGTACCAAAAGTCTTATCGTCAATATAAAAGTCATACATGCAATATATTCCATTAACGCAATCTATTAGTAGTATAAATATATTGAAATTTTTTCTAATAATGCCAGAGTTAATTAACATGTCCCACTAATATGAACTAATGACGATATAAATGTAAATAGTACTACCATTTTAATTTCGAGAAGTTTGATTATAATAATAGAAAAGGTTGATAACTACGAAAATACCAACTAAAAAAATTGAAGATGATGACTAAAACTACATCAACCAAAAAGGTTAAAGATAACTACTAAGACAATATCAACTAAGTAAGTTGAAGACAATGATTATAATGATATATCAAGTAATAATGCTTGAGATGATGACCAAGAAATATAATACTAATAACCAATAAAATTGTAGTAAAGTAAAAGTACAATTTAATACATATAACATTAAATATTAATAGTCATGTTATATATTTAATGTGAAATCATGATTAATATCATAATTTTAATAAATAAAATTAAAAGATTAAAATTATAATTAAAATTTTAAAAATTACATATTAAATATTATAAAGAATTAAAAATACAATTCAACCTAATTATTTTAAAAGATATAGCATGCCTATATATGAAACTTGAGGATATTTTTTTCAAAACTAATTCTTTCAAAATCGGATTGATTATATGCATGGTCTCACGATATTTTTTTTCAAAATTTTCACTTTTTTATGTTTCAAACAATGGAAAGAAAGAAAATAGTTTTTTCCCCCTCCTTCTGTCAGTAACCCGCCTTTTCTGTAAATCGTGCGTTCCAAACAATGCGTAATAGTCATACAAAATATCATTTTGCTTTGATTTTATTTCTAGTTTATTAATTTAATATTTATACAAGTTGTGAAAATGATTTTTTATAATTATCTAGAAAAGAAAAGAGAAATGTTTATCAAACTGCACACATATTTAAAAGAACTTCATGACGAAGAAAGGAAAGAGGAAGTATATCAAAAGCAGAAATAATAAAGAAAACTGTCCAACCGACAAAACAACCGCCAAAAAATGGACACGTAAAACAGTGCATGCATGACTCACCAATCTTCTCCTTTAAAACCTGAACTCTTCCGAGACATGCCTCATCACATTCAACATTCCACTCCTACCCTCTTCAACACTATCAAATTCAGGTATTGCACCCCAAATCATACAACAACACCGATAACATAAAGGGTCCTTCTATATTTCTATAAAAGTTTTGGTTTTCTTTTTTGTCCTTGAGAACTTCACTTGAAAGAGATGGAACAGAAAAGCATTCTGATATCGGCTTTGGGTGTTGGGGTGGGAGTGGGAGTGGGGATTGGATTGGCTTCTGGACAAAGTGTTGCCAAATGGGGAGCCAACACTTTTTCCTCAAACGCTATCACTGCTGAGAAGATGGAGCAGGAAATGCTCAGACAAGTTGTTGATGGAAGACAAAGCAACGTCACTTTTGATAAATTCCCTTATTATCTCAGGCATAACATAAAAATCCTTTCCTCCTTAGTTTGTTTCCTGTTATATTTCTAATGTTTTGTGGATGCAAACCAACCAGCATGGTCTTATTTTATACTTAATCATTCATATTATATATAGTATTCAACTTTGCTTTGTTTCCTGTGATTATGGAAAATCAGCATAATTTGGTAGATCAATTGATAACCACTAACTAAGAAGTGTGCGGCATGCATAAATATTTGGTCGGAGTAGTTTTCTTTCTATTTGACGTGACAAGAACTCGTATTAGAAAGGCCATTTCCTGACCAATTACATGTATATCACATACAGGCTAGATGATTTTCCAGATTAACCTCGCATAATCTTGTGTATGGTGATTGTATATTATATTATATATAATTTGTTAAGAAATTTTATCTAATGATTGTGTTACTGACAAACAGTTTATTGGATTCTAATCCGTTCCATATATACCCTCGTTGTTGCACTTGATGAATCCTTGATTTGACAACTATATGAAACGATGAATATGTTATTAATTCAATCTCTGTTAGTGTATAACCCTTCACATCCTATGCGTGATAACTGATAACAGTGAACAGACACGAGTTTTGCTGACAAGTGTGGCTTATGTTCATTTAAAGCATGCTGAGGTTTCTAAACATACACGAAATCTTGCTCCTGCAAGCCGGACTATTCTGCTTTCAGGGCCAGCAGGTTAATTACTTGGCATCTGTTGTTCTCTATTGTTACTATTCTTTGATGTTTTTGTTGTTACTGTGAAGCTAACTATACCCTCATTCCTCCCTTTTCATGTCTTTTTAAAGAACTTTATCAACAGATGCTTGCCAAGGCTTTAGCTCATTACTTTGAGGCCAAGTTGCTTCTGTTAGATTTAACTGACTTTTCATTGAAGGTGAGTGAGTTAAGATGTTTTGAGTTATATGACTTATTTCTACTTCTGTTACTTATGTAGTCACGGTTGGCTTTCGCTTACCATTTGTGCAGATTCATAGTAAATATGGTTCTTCCAACAAAGAATCTGTAAGCTATTCCTGATTTAAATTTATCTTTTATTGTTTTTACTTGTGTATTCTTCCAACAGAAACCTGTCGAAGTACTTCTGTTTATCATCATAGATAAACATGCTCCTTCTGGATCTAAAGTTTGGCTGCATTTCTGGTTTTTTTTTTTTTTTTTTTTTCCT